CCAGATGTCCTTCAAAGAGTGAAGGATTAAACAAACTGTGGCATATCCATGTCATGGAATACTACTCAGCAATAAAAAAAGAACAAACTATTAATACAAGCAACACCACCGATGAAAATCCAGAGAATTATGACAAGTGAAAAAAGCCAATTCTAAAAGATCACATACTGTTTGATTCTATTTGTATATATACCTAAAATGACAAAATTTTAGAAATGAAGAAGAGACTAGAGGTTGCCAATGGACTAAGGAGAGGGTAGGGGTGGGAGGGAAGTAGGTGTGGCTATAAAAGGGCACCATGAGGGATCATCCTGGTGGTGGAATTTTTCTGTATCTTGATTACACCAATGTCAACATCCTGATTTTCTACTATGGTTTTTGCAAGATATCAATATGGGGGGAACTGGGTAGAGAGGATCCAGAGGATCTCTGTGTGCTTTCTTACAACTGCAAGGAAAACTACACTTATCTCCAAATAAAAGGTTTAATTTTAAAAAGTTAATCAAACTGAATCTACTTCACATCTGTTCTGGCACCTGAAATAACTATTGCTTCCAAGAGTCTACTCCTTGCTGTAATTTTGTTAGCAGCCCAAAGGTTAAAGTTTTCTGAATTAAGCTTAAGTGTTGCAAACATTTGGGGGAAACATACCTAGCATCTTGGGCCAAAATATCTGCCAAAACAAACTTGCCTGCAGAAATTTCATCAAGGGACATGTATTAGCTTACAAAATAATTAACTGTTTAGCCAGAGTTGACATGTTTTTGCTAATATTTAATATGAATTGAGGGTTTTTTTTTTTTTTTTTTTTATTGTTCAATTCCCTTACTTATTTCCCTCCCAACAGCTATGGGGAATTTCTTAGTTAAAAAAATTTTCATCTGTGAAACACAGGTACATTTTCATCTATAGTTAAACAAAAAGGCAAAGTTCTCTCACTTCCCATCCCAGTCTTCTCCCCAGAGAAAATCATTGTTGTCAATTTGAAGTACTTCCTTCCAGATTATTTTTGTGTATTTCTAGACATATGTACAGTTTTGTGTGTGTGTGTGTGATTTGTTTTTTACAAAGATAAGCTCATACTGTTTATATGGTTCTTCAAATTCCTTTTTTCTCCTATTAAAATGTCTTGGAAATTTACATGTCAATATGTTTAGATCTAACTTATCTTTTTCAATTGCCTTGCAGTATTCTGTGGTATTGATGTACCACAGTCTAATTGTTTGCCTGCTGACACTTAGGATGGTTCCAATTTTTGCTATTGCAAGCAATGCAGCCATCAGTGAAAACCCTTATACGTGTGTCTTTGGGCATGTATAACGATATTTCTCTAAGAGAGAAACCAGAAGTAGAACTGGGGCTTTGAAGGTGTGGCCAACATTGTTGACTGGCTGAACCAACACCTGTTCCCACCCATTTCCAATCATATTCTCCTCTCCTACCTCCCACAAACAAGGCTCGAAAAGCTAGAAACTCCTTTTGCTTATGGTGAGGCGTGGCCATGTGACCCAGTTCTGGCCAATTAAACATCAGCAAAAGTTTGCTAGGTAGTCCCTAGGAATGCTTTTGCTTTCCAGGTAAAAGGGATAGACATGACTGGCACTGTCCCTTTTTTCTGCCCTGAAGGTAGGTGGCTGTGGTGTTTGCGGGGGTGGCAGCTATGTTACCACACGCAGAAAAGCCAAGAGAATCACAGTGATGTCAGCCCTGATATCAATGAGTTTGCTGAACCAAAGCCATCAGTAACTTACCTCCTGCTTGTTACGTGAGAACAAACTCCTATGGCTTTAAACCACAGTATAAGTCTGGTTTTCTGTTACTTGCAGCCAAATGTGTTCCTAAATGGTTCAGTACTAAATTACTCTCTAAAATGTCTGTACTTTATTCTCTTGAGAACAAAAGTCTATAAGAATATCCATTTCTCAAAACTTTTATTTACTTTGAATGTTGTCAGTCATTTAAATGTTTAAGCAAGCTGACACATGAAAATGTTTCATATGAAGTGGAGCATCACTGCATACATTTGTTAGACATTCAGATTTCCTCTTTTATGACTTTCTTGTTTATGTCTCTTGTCCACTTTTCTACTGTATTGTTTGACTTTTTCTTATTGATTTGTAAGTGTAAATTTCCAGACAGCAAAGCAGACTGATTAAACTCATGGGGAAATTTGTCTCTGCATCTTTATACTATAAACCAAGCACAACTAAGAAATAAATTTTCCATGACAGGCCAGCCAGGCTGACAGTGACAGTCATCTCCGAGTGGTGCACCACCACGTGGCAATGTGTCAAGAAGCAATTCAACTCGTGCAAAACACCACAGCCCATGCTTAGTACTTCCTTTGCAAATCAATACCTAAAGTAAGGTTTATGGAACAGTGACAAACTGGTGAACCAGGCAGTGTCCTTAACATACACCATCTCATTTAACCCTCATATCAAACCCAAGAGGCAGTCGTCATTATTCCTATTTTACAGAATAAATGATGAAAATAAACTTTTAAAACCAATAGTTTCTTTCCTACCACAAAATTTACAACATTCCAGGATCCATATTTAAAAATAAAATGATTGTGTTTACCTAAAATTAAAATTATGTAAAATATATTGTGCCTATGTAAATACAACAACACGCTTAAGCCAGAAACACTGCTAAACCTGTTTAGTGGTCTATGAATCTGAAGAAGCTGTTCCAAAGTTTGGCTCTAAGGTTTATTGCCAAACTGTAGTAAACCAACATTTCCATTTTTTAAAGTGAAAAACTAAATGCTTCAGCAAGAAGGACCTATTAGCTAGCCACCCCATCCCAGAGCAGCAGGTAAGGAATTCCTCTAATCAGTTAAGAACCAACCAATCTGACACTAAGAAACAAAATAAGCTGTTCCAGATAATAAAAGATTGTCATGAAAAGCAATGTAAATAAGTTGAATAGAACAAGCACCATCCTTGAGTATTTGTACATGGTTTAGATTTTGGATAGACTGACTGGACTTTAAAAAGCCCAGCAACCAGAGGAAAAAAACTGGGGGAGGTTCCTGCTCCTGGAGTCAGGTGAGGGGGCAGCAGGAGGGCAGAGGCCCTAACTATTTCCTTGCTTCATGCCACACCTCTCCTCATAAGAGCTGTGGATTCTCTCTCTGGCAAAGCATCACACAAAGCACTCTATCCACGGGGGTTGAGGAGCACAAGCATCAAACCTCCCTGATGCCTCCTACTAAACCCTCCCTGAGGGGACACGCCTAGCCTAAGGCCTGGAGGGCAGGGCAGAACTGACAGTCCCTATGGCAGGAAGGCTAGACCACCTAGTTGCCGCCCTCTTGGGCCACAGAGAGACATGGAGATTCACCTGCAGCATCCTCTTGCAGAAATTTTTAGCCCGTTTGTAAGGCACAGAAAAATGCCTGGAGGAGTTTGAATTCTAATTTTACATAAAAGAAAACAAGTCTGCAGACACACAATGTTTATGGTCTACAAAAGTGCAAATGGGTTGACAAATCCCCAATCTGAAGGTACCTTTGGTGGTTTCTTGCATTTTCCTGGTGGGCTTGCCCAGGGGTCCCTGGATGGGGAGAGGCAGTGTTCCCCCCACCCCCACCCACTTCCTCAGTAGATTGCACACCTCACCCCACTGGCAGAGCAAGGGTGATAATACATGGAAAAAAATCTAACTCTTTCCCAAAGTTGCCTGTGGCCAGGCCAGGCTTGGAGAGGAGAGGGGGGCCCTGGTGGGCTGCTCCTGACCTCAGTCCAGGTGTTTGCCGGGCCACATAGGAGGAAGAGAGTGAGGCAAGCTTTGGTCACCAGAACAAAACAAGCCAGATTCCTTGGCCCTTCAGAACAGTCTGTCCAAGCCTCAGGACAACTCACCAGGAGAGTAAGCAGGGCACATGAGAGAGGAGGACACTAAGCCTCAGAGAGGAGCAGAGACACAAAGAAAAAGTGCAAAAAGGAAACAGAAGATGGTGATGGGGCCAAAATTGGTGATGGGGCCAAAAGGTGCTGAAATCAAACCAGGCACTGCAGCACAAGGCTGGCTCTTGGGGAGGGGACACACCTGGCACCCTAAGGGCTCCCCATGTGCTGGTTAGAGCTCGGCCCTAAAGGGGCCCAAGGCCTTGCATGTGCTCCAACAGGTTGGCGTCACTGAGACAGCAAGGAGCCAAGAAGGGGGGTGGCTTAGCGCTGCGCCTCCCCCCCCAAGCACTTGCACAACTAAACACACTCAGGCACACAGCCTCACTGGTGCACACATATGGCACAGGCAGGTGCACACATCTGCGCACACAGGCCCCATGGTCAGGTGCACAGACGCACACAAAGCATTCTTGTGTGTGAGTGCACACACACATACTCTCCCAGTCGATGGACACAACATATTCAACCTGCCAGTTGGGTGATGTAGGCACACAATCATACACACACACAAACTCCGTGAGGAGTGAACACACATACAACCTCTCTGCAGGCTCAGGCTCACACTCATGCAGGCACAAACACACAAACACACTCCACAGCCTCTTGGTCAGGTACATACCAACCTCTACATAAGGTACACACACAAACTCAGCCTGTCAGGAAAACACACACACACAGCCTCTCTGTCAGGTGCACACAACACCCTTACTCTCAGTTAGCGTGTGCACACACACTCAGAATCCGTCAGGCACATAAACACACTCACAACGTGCCAGGAACACACACACGCTCACAACTTCTCTGTCGGTGTGAGCGCAAACACAAACTCCCAGCCCTTCGGAGTCACCCACACACACTCACACCCTCCCACCCTCTCCGCAGGCGCAGGCACACTCGCACGAGCTCAGCCAGCACACGCACACTCACAGCTCCCCTCGGGCGCACCCCCACACCCACGCACCCTCCCCCTCGGCCGTACCCCTCCCCCAGGCCCGTGCCAGCGCCGGGCAGCAAACTCCGGCGGCGCGGGGTGTGCACACGTCCCCGGCCCGCAGCCGCTGGCCCGTCCGCGCCCCTCCTCACCTTTCTCCCCCGCGCCCAGCGCCCGGCCCTCGTCCTCCTTGGGGTTCGTCACCTGGGTGATGATGGCCGGGCCGTCCATGAGTGCGCCGCGCGGCGGCCACACGCGGGCCCGGC